ACATCTTGAACTTTGTTAATTGTGATTGTGTCAACACACACCTCTTATTTGTCCTTGTTCTTTCATAGAAAAAAATTGTCTCTTGTGATTTGTGCTAACACATCTTGAAATCTATTAATTGTTAGTTGTGTCAACACACATCTCTTATTTGTCCTTGTCCTTTCATAGGAAAAAATTGCCTCTGTGATTTGTGCTAACACATCTTGAAGTCTATTAATTATGATTTGTGTGAACACTGACCCCACCAAAAATAGATGGTATACTAATTAACTTGCATACACGGGTAATAAGATTGTATAAGCTTCAATGAATTAAACGCATTTTATGACTATCCTCGTACAAAAAGAACATTGTGTCATAAAATATGAAAAAAATATGGTGTCATCCCGTAAAAACATAGCACTATAGTGTTATGTGATTGTTTCAGGGTGTTGTCATTTTTTTGTCATCTCTATGAAATTTCTTGATAACCTGGGAAGTAGGACTCCATTCATTCACCGCTAACTCCTTTGTTGATGTAATACAACATCTGTCAAGAAACTGAACTGCTTATTTTAATGCAGCCAGTCTTGAGATGAGGGACAGTGACCCCGAGACGACACTTGAGGTAGACCTGAAGGCGAGCGAGAGCTTCCTGAACCAGAGAAAACTACAGCTAGAGAGCTATGAGATGTCCCAGGCTCCCAGCAATGCAGGAGCAACACGCTGCAGCCTGGCCATGTTATCATCTCACTGGAAAGTGGTGAACATAAAGTAGAAATTGCATTTTTCAAAAAGTAATAGTTACAGTAACTGAAACGTGCAATTTTCTTTTGTATTGTATGAAATTATTGTCATGGTATAAATAGTAGAACAATTGATTATGCAACTGGTGGAAGAACTTTCAGTCTTAGTTACACACATATATCTGGTGTTGCAACTGAATGTAGGCCTTAGTTTTTGTGTGTGCAAAGTGTTGTGTGTCAGTTTGATCTCTAATTGGAAGGATGTGCTTCTAGCAGCTCATGCATGTCGATACAAATAGGATCATGCAAGAATGGTCAGCAGGATCTTCTTGTATAGATCAGATTTGTAATTTTTGTAGCTTGTCACTGTCTGATTGTTTCTGACAAGTGGTAGTGATTAGAGAGTCAAGTTTATGCCTCTGCGCAAGTCTAGGAAGCTCTCAAATGTCTTGTAGAGTGATTATGGTCCACTCTGAACATCTAGTTCTTAAAACTTTGAGTAGCAAGTTACTGATAACTATTGTACTATATTTTCAGTTTTAAAATTGCATGGAACCACTTGTCATTGTACACTTTTAGCGTTGGCAAAGATCTTGCATTTGGGACCGTAAAAGCTTTGTTCGTACTCTCATAGTGGCCTATTTTTACTTGTGATCTTTAATTGTCCAGTATGGGAAACATTAAATTGAAGTTTCAAACAGGTAATTGCAGTCTACTATAATTTAAATTGTAAGATCCGCGCACTGACTGCAATTTCAGTTGCGAGCATATGCAATATGTTGTTGTTGAACAAATTTGCCTCATGGTTGTCTTTTCAGCTAGCTGATTTAAGTGGCTGCTGATTTTTGCATTTTCTATAGCTTGTCTTGTATGGAATGACGTGCTGAACTCGACAGACTATGCATACATGTGTTAGGAATACTACCTGCAGTTTGAGATAACCACTGTCAAATACATTTAGAGCGAGTTAGGGATTTACCTGTGAATTTCTATACTGTCAGACTGTCAAAATTTATGTTGCTTTCTTTGGTAGTTTCGTGGACATAATTTGCCGATTTACAAGTTCATGTATAGTTTTCCTTCCATTCTTTCTTGTGGCTCTGAGGTGTAGTTTATGTGTTTCTTACCACTAAGTTCAGTCTGTTTCTTCCCTTTGAGAAGTTATATTACCAGATTGTCAATATTTTGGTTTTTTCTTTTGTCTACCTGTTTATTTGTCGTCATGGTTAATTGACTCTCCAGTAAAATTGCGGTAATTTGTCTATATTGCCTGATGATTGCTCGTATGACTTTTCTCATGAGCCCCATAAATTCAGATACTTTCATTACTCCCTGTATTAATAAGATTATCTATTGTAGCAATAGATGGGTAACTATCCATTCTTTCATCACAAATCACCCTTATTGATGTTTTCTGCATGCTACATATTTGTGGCTCATGTCATCTAAATTAGTTTTGTAACCTTTTTGATCATTGCCATCTCTGCTAGTAAAATCACTTCGCTTCATAATGTTATCTAGAATGAGCAGCGTCCTCCATTATGTTAATTGATTGCAATCACCAATAATGTAAACTGCAAGGATAGGGCATTGCAAATTTAGTTGTGAGCATGTGCAATTTATTCTATTTTAATATATGCACTTATTGCAAGTCACTTAGGCTGATATGAAATTGTTCTTTGAGTCTATATGTGGAGAGGTTGGTCATTCTTTACTTAAAACATCATTTCCCTTGTGTATAGTTTGTGTTGCTAAATGTCTATAGAAACGACAATTTGACTAGCGTAGCTTCGTTGCCTCATTGTAATTTAGTTTCTAGACTGGTAGTAGTGTTTTAGCTTTGGAAACCCAATTTAATTGAGGTGGAAATGGATGTGCAACGAGACTTGGAGATTAGGTAGATTGCAGTTTCAGAACCTATCATTTTTAGGCAAAACTGGAGAATATTAGAACAATGAGTTTGAATCTTTGTTTTGTCAAATAAAGCTTTTTGAGAGATGCGGGATGATACTTTTCTCTGGATCTTTGTAATATGTTTTCTTTTTTCTGTGCTCATTAGAAGTCATTAATTATGAATATAGGGCACCTTCACTCTGAATCACTCCCTTGACAGAGCACTGTCTAGTTAATTGTAGCGGCACAACTACTGGCCTGGTATGGTTTGATCTTGAGTTGTCACCATATATGCATGCCCTACTTGTAATTGCTACTAGTAGTAGTACTTGACAATAATACAAAAATAGGCAATCATGCAGGGACTGATGGAACGTTGAAGGCATGCATGATTATGATATGCATGCTGACTGCTGGTGGGAGCTTCCGAAAGATGCAGACTATGATAGGGAACCACCAATTGTGACTGCTATGGCAAGAATGGAGAGACTAGTAGTGGTTATTCATTGACATTGTTTACTGAGAACATCTCGTTGTGTATCTAGATTCAATCGTGGTGTTTCTTTCTTGCTGGAGGTTGCAGTGGCAGATTTGTAAATTATGTGTAATATTTTACTGGCCCAATAGCTACGTTGTGGCCCAAATGAGCACTGAGTTGATATAACGGGTATTGGTAACTAAACACGTTTAAGGTTTGGCGGGCTCAGTAGCGCGTGGGTTGGTTTTACGGGTTCATTCGCGGATCCGTTTAGCTTGCTAGAAGAAGAAAAACAACATGGACAGATCTGAGCCCTTGGATGCAGATCCAAGGGCTGTGGACGTCGACTGAAAAAAGATGTAAATTTCAGTCGACTGGGATATAGCAAGTCCCTTATTTTATAGATTCTTACGCAAGTTCTCTCAACAGTTTGTTGCAGTGTTCGCGTTTACCGGCAAGAAGTCGCTTGTGTCCATGTAAGCACATTACCACAGCATACAGGAACATACACATCCAATTCTGACCGTAGTTGATGGAACGCGTTCTTTCAGAGATTATATTGGCGTGCTAATGTTCAGTTGCTGTATTTTGGCAGAGTGGTGTTTCTTGGACGGATCATATTCACTGGGACACTAATACTGTCCGGCACTTTTCCTTCTCCTGCACAAGTAAGCTGTTGCCACCTGTTATGGTTGGATTTAGAACGATTTTGAGCAAATCTGGATGTCTTTGTTCCAGTTCGTCCAAATTTTAAAACTTATTTCAAATGCTTGCTGTTATATACAGTACATTTTTTTTATTGAACGTATTTACATGTTTTTTTCTCGGAAACGTACGTATTTACAAGTTAACCGAGCATACTGCGACCATTGAATTTGGCCATGTGTTCAGCGTGATAGGAGGCACCTGCGTGGCCATGGACGAGTGGGTGGTCCAGCCGCAGGGGCAGAGCCACACGGCGCTGGACGACATCCTCCCCTGTGCCGACGCGGCGGTGACGGCGGAGGCCCTGCGCCGGAGCAAGGAGGTCAACTTCCAGGTCGTCTTCAAGCTCAACCAGCTGGTCTCCGACGTGTCCAACGGCAACGTGTCCAGCTGGTCTATTCAACTTCCAACTTGGATGATGTCCTCAATATAGTCATCTTGCACCACCACACGATTTGGTTTGTGTTGGACTTGATTTAATCCAGGGTCGGATTGTTTGAAGCCTACGATATCGTTCTGTGGTAGACGGGCCTGCGGCAAGCGATGTGGTCTAGGGCAGTCGGGTGGTGACGAGCGGATGGACCGAGCAGGGGTTGACGGATGGAAGGGCAGGACTAGGCGCACGGAAAACAATCGGACGCAGGGGCGTGGGAGCGGACGGACCATGAAACGCTTCACACTTAGTATATTATATTATAGGTCGAGTAGATATAGATACAAAATACAAATATTGATATAGATAAGAGCAGTACGTGTGTGTGTGTGTGTGTGTGTGTGTGTTAGATAAGGCCAGGCTTTGGTATTTTGGTCAGGCTTCTACGAATCAAGCTTGTTAGAACTAACATGCACATGCCATCCATCCGGCAGCCAATCAACGTGGCCAGACAATTCAATTATAAATTTGACCTATCGCTATTGTTTTCACTATTTGGTAAAATTTGTAGGCTTGATACACGCTATATTGTCATCCATCGTACGCGTGCATGTATGATCCATGCTTAGATAAAATAAGAATAAGGTGTGCACGGCCGGACGACCGGAAGTATGTATTCAACGTATCAAAATTGACAATTTAACATAAGTATACCTGCAAACTTTTATTTATTAATAAAGACAAACAAACAATAATAAAAGGTCTATAATATAGTGCTCGAAATACAGCATATCAAATCCTTAAATCTTAAACCTTAGCTATAATCCTAAGTGCTAACAATGCTAACATAAGACAACTCTACAGATCCAAGATATATTTTGCCATCTGGTCTTTCCACCGCCTCGGTTGGCCTAACGTTCTTAGGGCCCGTCATTTCTTGGAGCTTTTCACCTTGAGCACCAATCCTGATGGCGACCAAGTGCTTGTTCGCGCCAAGCGGATACGGGAGCTCATTTTTCTCTCGGTGCAGGGCAACCCAGTAGCCTCCATTCCCGTCGGGCCTCACGTTGTCCGGGTATCCTGGTAGGTCTGCGAATATCTCGGATGTGTTTGCGTTGGGCCCACGGATCCAATACCTTAGCAGCTTGCAAGGTCCGGTGAGCGCGACGACGAGGTGGATCCAATACCTTAGCAGCTTGCAAGGTCCAGTGAGCGCGACGACGAGGTGGGTCCTGTCCTCGCTGATGGCGATGCCGTTAGGGTAGGTCACGCCGGACTGGAGCACGGTGACCTGGTTGGTGCGCGGACTGTACTTCATGATGCGCCCCGTGGAGTCCCCGGACGCGGTCACCATCTGGTGCTGTGACCGCGGGTACGTCTTGCTGCTATCAGTAAAGTAAACATCGCCGGTGACCTGGTCGATGTCCACCCCATTGGTGAAGCGGAACGGCTCGCCGCCGGTCTCCGTGGCTAGCACGGTCGCCTCCCCGCCTTCCGGTCCCACCCGCATGAGCCCCATGTATGCATCCGCGATGTATAGGTTGCTGGAGTTGCGGTGGAAACGAAGGCCCAGCGGCCGGCCGCACGAGCTCTCCGTGGCGACCGGCGGGAGCTCAGACGGCGCGTCGCAGTTGTTCTTGGTGTAGCTCGGGCTGTACGTGAACGTGGTCCAGCCAGCTCCTTCGCCACCGTACTTGAGTATGCGGCCGTCGGAGATGCTGACGTATGGTCCGGCGCCGTGAACGTCGAACGCGACGCTCTCGGGGCCAACCAGCGCGTCGGGCAGGTCCAGGCGCTGGCTGTTCGATGCGTCGATGGCCTTGGCTACGGCGGCCACGGCGGTGCACGGCAGGAGCAGCAGGACGGCGAGCAAGATCCCAAGCACAACCAGCTTTGATGTGAACCGGCCCATGGTCGCTTTTCCGGCCGATGAGTACGCAAGGTTCTCTACTTCTCTCGCTGGCTTTTGTTGGCCGATCGGCGATCGCGCTGATTGTTTGTAGAACGGGGCACCTTTTCCTCTGGTTTTATTGGGGCCTTCGCTTGCAGCCGAATCCGAACCGGTGCCGGGGAAAGAAAAGGATTCCGACTATAGGAGCAGCAGGAACGGAGACGGATGGTAAAATGAATATCCCCTCCTATCACGTAGCCACATAGGCTCCATGTTGGTTGAAGTAGCAAGTCGTGGTATTTTTGAAGTCAACGTGTATACTACTACGGAGGCCGTAGCAAGCTATACATACTAGGTCTCTTACAGACCAGGAGTTGTTGATCAGATTTAAACAAGTGGCAGGAGATTTGGATAAAATTTGGGCTTCGGAAGAGATTACGGAAATGCTCTCCTCAGGAGGTTCATCCGTCCGGACGTATTCTTCCTGGGCTTGTGGAGCCCAATATACCTGCTCCCCTCACAGTTTCTCGATTAAAAAAAATAGATGCCGATTCCCCGTTCCTCCTTGCCCATCGCGGCCTTCTTCACCGCGCCATCCAACCGCCGCGGCCGACTCCACCGCGCCGCACGCCCACCGCTCACCTTCTCCAACACGAGGGACGCTCGCCGCGGGCAGCGCCGAAGCTATCGCTAGGAGCCGGGGTCGTGCAGCTGCCTGCCCACTGGCATCCCCCCCCCTCCCCGCGCCACTCTACGGCATCGAGCTCCACGTCGACAAGCCCCCATTCGTCCCAGAGCGTCGACGAGCCCCATTCATCCAAGCATCAGGTACATGTTGCGCTTGAAAGCGCATGAACGTATGTTTAGTGTTTTAGATGTATGTTACAGGTGTTTCATATGAATATTGCAAAAGTAGATCAGGATGTTGCATATGTTGTAATTGATGTACACGTATCTTGCAAGCGCCTGTTCCAAATGTTTCATCTATTTTTACACATATGTTATAAATGTGTTTATCTGGATGTTACTGTTTCACATATATATTGCAAGTGTGCTTGACATGAACCTGCCGCCCCACCATCCGATCTGCGTTTGGATTATGCCACGGCCACGCCATCTGACCGGCTCCACGCCTTGCACACTTTATTGTTGTGTACCACGTAATTAAACAAGTATAGAGCACATAGAACATAACCATATATTGTCATTATTAATCAACTAAAATACATATTTGAAAAAGGAATAAATTATATTCCATCCTCTGCAAGCAACATATTACATAGTCATTAATTATATCACCCATATTAGAATTCACTACCCCAGTTTTCGATATCACTGCCGGTTTAAAATCCCCCTTCACTGCCGGATTAGTGATGCTCGCTGGCTACCGCTGCCGGTACTTCACCCGGTAGTGATAAGGTTTAGAAAAACAAAAAAAGCAATCCATCTAGCATGCTGGCTGGAGCATGCTCGCCGCCGCCGTTGCCGCCGCCATGCTCGCTGGCTACCGCCGCCACTACATCGAGCATTTTATCTAAGAAAAAAAATTCATACATCACAGATAAAGAGGACGGATTCAACACATCAGAAAAACTCATCCACAAATCAATCCGTGCATCGCAGACGAAGGAGAAGGGTTCAACACATCACAAATCAACCCATCCACAAATCGATTCGTACATCACAGACAAAGGAGCAGGGTTGAACACAAAAAAAAACTCATCTACACCGGCGAAGACACAGGAGCACCAGAAAGGGAGATTGCCGAGGAGACACAGTGCGGCTGCCTCCTCCTTCTCCGGCGGGCGAGCGTGGCTGCCTCCTCCTCCTTCGGCGGGCGCGCCCCTCCTCCCCTCTGGCGCGACGGCCCTCTCCCCTCCCTCTCTCCCTCAGGCGATGCGGGTGAGGAGGCCGGATCCAGCGACGGGGAAGCCGGATCCGGTGGCGGGGAGGACGGATCCGATGGCGGGGAAGCCAGATCCGGTGGCGGGGAAGCCAGATCCGGTGGCGGGCAACGTGGGCGGCACAGCGAAAGTGGCAGCGGCGGTGGCCCTCTCCCCACGGCGGCGCTCCTCCCCTTCAACTCCGGCAGCGGCGTGGAGGCTGGATCCGGCCTCCCTACGACAGCGCTCCTCTCCCTCCAACTCCGGTAGCGGCGTGGAGGCCGGATCCGGTGACATGGAGGTTAGATCCGGCCTCCCCACGGCAGCACGTCACCGCGCTGGGTTAGCCTCGCGCCCGCACGTCACTACCGCGGCCTCCATGGGTCCGCACCGCATGCTCGAGCACCTCCGACGGAGATGGCCGAGCGTCCTGCATCTTCACTCGAACGGCGCCGCCGCGGAGGTGATGGGGAAGAGCGGGAGCAGGCGTGGGGGCTTGGCGCCGCTCCTCGGGGACAGGTGGAGGAAGAAGCCCCTCTCCGGCATGGCTCTCCTCGGCGGAGTGGAGGCGGGTGTGGTGTGGAGTTCTGGGGAGGAGGAGATGGGAGGCGTGCGGAGTTCTGGGGAGGAGGAGATGGGAGGCGTGCGGAGTTGGGAGTTGGGAGGGAGTTAGGAGGTGTGCGGAGTTAACTGGAGTTGATAAAATTTTCGGGTCCGGAGTATGTATCAGTGTTGGTTTTGGTAATTGAACCGACAGTGAATAAACATCACTACCGGTTTATATTAACAACAGGCAGTGATGTGGTCCTTTAATGTCGGTTTTAGTCCAGACTCAGTTATTTTCTTGTTTTCAAGCTCGGAAGCGTACATCACTGCCGGTTCTCACGAATCCGACAGTGATGAGGCCGGCAGTGATGTCTAAATCTGTAGTAGTGATTGATCTCCACGGAGAATGTTCCAAGTCCAAAAAGTAATGGTAATATATATACAAGTACTAACATAAAAACAAACTTTGGACATTTTATTATAGATAAATAGATAAAGAAAGCAAATCCAGCTTCATCTCTTATGACCAAGAGAATTAAACCAACTATTATTACACAAAAGAAACAAAAGCAAAAGAGATTTAGGGACTGTTTAGATTCTATGGTCTAAACTTTAGTTGGCTAAAGTTAATCTCTTCTCTACACCTAGAAAGGCTATAACGTCATCATCTATCCAGTGATACCAAGTCTCGATTCCTGCTCACGCGTCTGCGTCCGATACGAATCATCCTCTACTCGGAGCTCACGCGTCCGCGTCCTACCCGATTTTGATACTGTAGAGAATAGAAGTGGGAGCCAACACTCTTCTATATTGATCTCAATGAATATATATGTGTTACATCAGGTTACAACAGTGGTTGCATAATAAACAACCGTTCGTATCTAGTGCACAACGTGAGCATCGTGGGTGGTGGTGACCGCGTCCATGGTCTTGACCGGCGCCCAAGCCTAGAACTGATGTCTCTCCTCGACACCTCCCCGCAGTCTGGCATGTAACTGGAAGAACGCAAAGACTGGATCCATAACGCTTCAAACGTCGTCGTCGGAAGCCCCTTTGTCATGGTGTCCGCGTACTGCTCGCCGGTGGGAACATGGAGAACGCGGAAATCGCCAAGCTGCACACGCTCGCGGATGAATTGGATGTCGAGCTCGATATGTTTGGTGCGCTTGTGATGGACGGGGTTGGAGGACATGTACACCGCTGATATGTTGTCGCAGTACGCCACCGTGGCTCGCACGATGGGGCAGTGAAGTTTGCCAAGCAGTTGCCTGAGCCAGATGCACTCTGCCGCCGCATTCACCACCGCCCCGTACTCGGCCTCGGCGCTTGATTGGGAGACGGTGGGCTGGCGTTTGGATGACCAAGAAACCAGCGACTCCCCAAGGAACACACAAAAGCCGGAGGTCGACCGCCGAGTATCAGGGCAACTGGCCCAGTCGGTGTCGGAGTACACCGTGACGTCGAGTGTGGTGGAAGCGCGTAGATGGAGACCATGCGACATCGTGCCGCGGACGTAGCGGAGGATGCACTTGAGGAGAGTCATATGCGGCGCGCGTGGATCGTGCATATGTAAGCATGCTTGCTGAACCGCGAACGCGAGATCAGGCCACGTCACCGTGAGGTACATGAGCGCTCCCGCCAAGCTGCAATTGGACGATGCGTCATCGACCTTGGCACCATCAGCCGAGAGTTTGCCCTTGGAGTCTATCGGTGTTGGAACGGGCTTGCAGTTCGTCATCCCGGCATGTTCCAGAATCTCCTCAGCGAACCGCTCTTGGGAAGGATAGAACCCGGTCGGTGTGCGCTTGACGTCGATGCCAAGGAAGAAGTGGAGCTCACCAAGGTCCTTGACCGCGAACTCTGCACGAAGACGATCGACCACTTGTTGCAGAAGGTTGGCGCTAGAGCTGGTGAGGACGATGTCGTCCACATACAAGAGCAGGTACACGATGTCACTCCCGCGCCGCAGGACGAAGAGCGAGGAATCAGACCGCGTGGGCCAAAAACCAAGCTTGACGGTGAAGTCGGCGAAGCGGTTGAACCATGCATGAGGTACTTGACGAAGGCCGTACAAGGACTTTTCGAGGAGGCACACGGCGTCAGGGCGATCAGCATCAACGAAACCTGTGGGCTGCTGGCATAGGACATGTTCCTTGAGGTGTCCATGCGAGAAGGCATTGGAGGCATCCTGCTGCTTGGTGGACTAGTGCCGGGATGCCGCGAAGGTGAGCATCGTGTGGATAGTCGCCGGTTTCACAACCGAAGTGAAGGTTTCATCGAAGTCGACGCCGGCGCGTTGAGTGAAGCCTCAAACCACCCATCGAGCCTTGTACCGCTCCAGAGTACAATCGGGGTTGAGCTTATGCTTGAACACCCAATTGACGGACACGACATGGGCGCCCGGCGGGTGATCAACCAGTCGCCAGGTGCGATTCTACTGGAGAGCAGCGAATTCTTGAGCCATCGTGTCGTGCCAATGTGGATCTTTCACAGCGGCGCATGCGGTAGTGGGAATGGGTGAAATTGGAGGAGTTGTAGATGTAAGCGCATAGCGAGGGTTGGGTTTATGGATACCAGCCCTGGCGCGCGTGA